TTTCAGCCCAGAGCCCCCAGACACCTGACGGTATCATCCAAGATACACACAGGGACCAGTTTTGAAGATGCACATGTAGCGTGGCTAAGCACTCTCACTATTTTAGGAGAAAGTGATGGCCAGCTAATATCAGATGGCCTGTATTCCCAGGAAGTAGAAAGGCAGGCCTCAACTATAGGACACTATTTTACTAGGTCAAAAGTCTGATTGCTCAAGTAGTAGGTGGGACTTTTGCTTCTGGTCAGGATGCAGTAAAGCAACTGGATTCACATTTCTGCTCGAAAAGAACAAAAATCAGACTAAATATCCAAAGCAGCAGGCTCTAGGACTCTGGAGGACAGAGGTCCCTGAGGTCAGACACAGCCCTGCCCTCTGCTTTCCACGGGGCAGTTTCCAAGTTGTAGGCAGGGCCTGAGGAAGCCCTCAGGGTAAGGGCTCAGAGAACCTGCATAAGGGTAGGAGATCTCCAGGGCCTGAAGCACACTCTGCAAGTATGGCCACAGCATGCAGGCCCAGGCACCCGGCAGTACCACCCAAGTTGGGCGTGCGGTGAGGAAACTTCTTGGAGCCGACGCAAAGGCGATCCAGGAGGCCAGCGGTGCCGGTGTCTGGAGCACACACAGGGCCAGACAGCCACGGCGCAGCATGAGGGAGGCCCACACCAGCAGCGGGGACAGTCAGCCTCAGCTGTGGGAGCGCTCCGGGCCAGCCCAGTAAACCCGAAGGGCAAGACTCAACCAAATCAAACCAGTTCCAAGTACCTTAACTGCCTGAAACAAAGATCAGGAATGCTTCTAGGAACACAACAGCACTAGCACACCGTGTAAAATCTACAGCTGGAATCAGCAAAGAGCACCAGACAGCAAAGGAGCAGGAAAACAAACCCTGACCCAGGAGAAGAACCAATCAGCCCAAACCAGCACTGGACTGACTCAAAGTCAGAGACCAGAACAACAAAACGATGGCCACTGGTGGGCTTGGGGGACATGCCCGCAACCCCAGCACTCACTCGGGAGGCTGAGGAAGGACAATCATTGTGCGTTTGAGGCCAACCTGGGCTGCACAGTGAGACCGTCTCAAAACAGGCCAGAAAGCCCACGTGGGCGCAGGACACTCACAATGCACTGTAAACCTCCCACAAGTGAAGCCCGGTGGCTCACACTACCTGGGAGGTGCTAACCAGCAAACAACAGGCGTGCAGGTTAGACAGGGAAAGCAAACCAGCCTCTGCTCACAGACACAGGTGGCCCGTCTGTCTACAAAGAACTTCTGACAGAATATACAGAACATCTGCAAGAGAAGGCAGCAAGACAACCAGATATAAGCTCCACATACGAAATTAAAGGTCATTTCTCTGTAAAAGTGAGAAGCAGGAACCAAAATTTACAGGATAATGTATAAAACATCAAGAATATAAAATAAGCTGGGTACAGAAGCACATGTCTAAATCCCAGCATCTGGGAGGCTAAGGCAGGAGGACTATAAATTCTAGCCTAGGTTGAGCAATTTTGCAACTCAGAGATGCTGGGATATATCTCTGTGTGAAGGCTCTGGGTTCAGTCCTCAGTCACACACACACACACACACACACACACACACACCTCTGAGACAAATTTCACAAAAGATTTCAAGATCTGTACACTGAAGCTAGAAAACATTGCCAAGAGAAAAAACAAAGACCTGAACATGCAACTATCACTCTCACTGCTTGGTCAGCTCAAAATTGATGCTATGTCAATTCTCTGCCCTGGTCTATAGGTTCCATATATTAGTCATATTCCAGCAAGCTTTTTGGTAGAAATTGACAGGTTCTAAAATTCGTATGTAGGGCCAGGCAGATAGCTCAGCCAATTAAAGTGTCTACTTAGGCAGAGGCAGGGGCCAGATTCCTGGCCTTCTGTGCCAGACCCGCCCCTGGGGCACACTGAGATGGCAATTGAGACTGGGTGTGGTGGTGCGTGCCTGTAATCCCAGCACTTGGGAGGCTGAAACCATCACTACAAGTCCGAGCCGTGTAGTGAGACACTGTACTAAATACACACACAAATTCATACAAAGGACCAAGAACAGTCAAAATGACTTTGAAAAGGGCTATGTCACAGGGCTGTCATGCTCTTGTTAAACCCCTCCTAGATGAGAAGCTGATGTCAAAGAAGCAAAGGCAGCTCAGTGAGAAAAAGGCACTCAAAAAATGACATCAGAACTGGACATTTACAGACAAAAATCGCATGCAGGTTTATGTATCATGATAAACACAAAATTTTCTCAACATAGGTCAAAACCTATATCTCTAAAGTATCTGCAAGTAAACAGAAGAGAAAATCGTTGTGATCTTAAATTAGGGCAAAGATTTCTTATATACTAAAAGTACAACCCATAGAGGAACAATTGATATGCTGGACTTCAAAACTTACAACTAAATAAAAACTTTAAAAAGCCAAAAAACAAACTTACAACTACTGCTCTTTAAAAATCACAAGGGAATCAAGGTACAAACTGCAGACCAGGAGAAGGTATATGCAAGGCTGACACAGGGCTTGTACCCAGATTACACATGAAACTCAAGATACTTATTAATAAAATAATCAGATAAAAAAGATGAGCAAAAATTTCAATAGGTTATTTCACCAAAGATGCACAGAATGGCAACTACACCCATGAAAAGATGCTCAGGACTAGTCGCAAAATGCAGAGTCAAGCTGGACCTCTATGGGAACAGCTAAAACTACAGACTACTAGAACCAGATGCTGACAAGGATGTGGGGCAACTTAAACTCAATACACTGCTAGTGGAGATAAAAGAGCTGTGGTCACTTTGGAAAGTGGAGACTTCATGAAGCTCAAAATACCCTTACGTGTGCCCCTGATAACATCTACACATTTTCCTGAGAAGAATACAAATGGATGTCCACATAATGACTTACCTAAGAATGTCCACAGCAGCTTTGCTCTAACAACCAAAAGCTAGATACCAAAATGCTCACAGATGAAAGGGGAAAAAAAGCCAATTTTGGTACAGCCACACTGCTCACTAACAAAAAGAACCAATTTTGATCCCAGTTTGAATCTCAAAAGAACTCTTGAAAGTCAGATAAAAGAGAGCAAAAGGTCATGCCTTTTGATGACCACAAATAGCACTAGTTACTTAGATGACCAGAAACAGCAAAATAGTGCCTGAAAATAAATGACACACTGTCAGGAGTGGGAGTGGGAAGAGGACTGACTGCCCAGGAGGCCAGGGAAGTATTCAGGTAATGGAAGTACTCTACATCCTGGTGATGGTGCTAGAGATGGCTGGCCATGTCTGTTCAAAACTAGTAGGTATCCTTCACGTTAAATGTAAATAACACCTTATAAAGCTGATTTAAAAAACACAATCAACTCAAACACTTGAACAGATATATGTGCACCAAACTTCAGTATGGGGCCACAAGTGTTTTGGATTTCTGGTTTTGTGACATTTGCATACATCTAACAAGATACTCTGGGGACAGGGTCCAAGTTTAAACATGAAATTATGTTTCAGATACTCCTCATTCACATACCACCCCCGTTTTGACTGCAACACGTCATGAGGTCAGGTCTGGAACTCTCCAAATCAGGTCATCATGTTGACATATAAAACTTTTTTTTTTTTTTTTGGTGGAACCGGGGATTGAACTCAGGCCCTTGTGCTTGCCAGGGAAGTGCTTATTCCACTGAGCCATCTCCCCGGCCCCCACATAAAACATTTTGAATTTTGGAGAGTTTTAGATTAGAGGTGCTCAAGCTGTAGTAGTTTCTTTGGTGGTAAACATATAGGTGAATAAAATCTCCTTTTTTGTACTTTCTATAATTTTTATCATGTGCCCATTTGTGCAACAGGAGAAAAATTTGAATTCAAGACTTCAGGTAGAAATAACTGTGCTTATGTCACTTAAAATATAAAATTAGAATACTTAATAGAGTATCACTTTATAAAACGACCCCAAAAACGTGCTTCGAAAATATCCAAGCAGCTAAGTGTACTTCTGGCCATTCCCCCCTTACTTTAGAAACAGTGTGTCACTACTCTCAGCCAAAGTGCAACAGAACCTGCAACCCACCCGCAACAATTCATCACAACTGCATCCTGCAACAAGTAAAGCACAACAAAGAGGCCGAAAAACGCCCCGGGAACTGGTGAAGCCCTAGTGTGGCGAGCAGCCGAGGTCCGCGCCCGCGACGAATCCCGGCGGCGACCGGCGGCGCGGGCGCAGGCCGTTGGGCCCCGGCTCTCTCGCGTGACTGCGGGACACCCGCGGGCTCACCTGGTACAGCTCTTCCAAGTTGTACCTGATGGACTTGCTGCCCTGGATGGCCCGCACCGCCTCGTGCAGCTTCTGCCACGTGTCCTGCGTGTAGTTGTCCGGCAGCCGAGGCCTGTCTGTGGGGACAGAGGGTCAGCGGCCGCGGGGACGGGACGGCCGGGCACCGGGAACCGCGGGGAGGGAGACTGGGCCTGCGCGCGGCAGGGGACCCGGAGGCCGGGACTAGGGAGGTCGGGTCTCGAGAACCTGGGAGGCGGGGACTTGGGGAGGCCGGGAATGGAGGGCCGAGAGGCCGGGGACTCGGAGGCCAGGCCCACGCGCCCCTGCACCCGCGCCCCACCTCGGAAGTTCTTGATGACCAGCTTCCTGGAGCCGCCCGCGCCCCCCGGCTTGGCCGAGCCGCCCGCCAGCGCTGCGGGCTTGGTGAGGCCGTTGGTGCGGCCCACGAGCGCCGAGACGCTGCCCTTCCGCGGGCCCTCGTCCGCCATGGCTCGGCCGCGCC